GAAAAGTCAACCGTTTCTGAAATCTAAACATTTTATATATATTTGTTAGGGGGTCAATGTATTACTGCGAACATTGCATACATTTCCCAAGCAAAATTCTCCCCTCAGGTTTTGTCACAGAGTACTTTCCTTTTTTTTGAGAGAGAGTTGTAACAGTGTTGCGTCAGACTTTTTTGCAGGATTTTTTATTCAAAGTTTTGTCAAAATGAAACGAGTATTTAGTTTCGAGTATACAGTCGTGATGGTTTGCAAGGGGTTCGACGAAGGGTGAGGAAATAACGTAATTTATTTTTCCAGAGCATACAAACTGTAACTAAATATTACTTCCATCTGCCTTTACGACATGGAAGTTGGGAAGATTAAGTTCCTATAGTCAGACAGTTGCGAATGCGTGTACATGTGTGCGTGCACAGTACGAAATATGTAGATCATTTCATGACCGGTACGTACGACACCGTACACCTGTCGTGATTTGTTCCACTTACGTTAACTTGAGATCTTATTTTTTTCTTTCCTTTCGTGTGCTCTAAACGTACCCTACTGAAACACATTCTATATATTAATCAAAACCTAATGGACATTATTCTATAGATTGATCAATACTTTACGTAAAAATCTTCTGAAAATAAACACATCGATCGTAACATATATTCAACTATCTTACATTCACGATTTGTGTTATTTGTTTGTTATTTGTTAACAAATTTTATATGCAATATTAGAAAAACAATAATTAGGAATAACAAATGAATGAATCGTATATTAGCCCGTAAAAATAAAATCTAATATAAAATATTATTGTATGTATAATACAACTTTATTAAACAAAAATAGAGAAACAAGAAACTTTCAGTATAATGATCCGAATTATTTCGAAAGAATTTATTTTGCCTTTTAATTTTACACAGATTATTAAAAACACGTATTCTTTTACAGTTTTTGATAAAGCAATCTTTGTTTAAAATATTTTAAAAAGTATAATTTTGTTTATAATCCTTTAATATAATAGTGGAGTCAGGATTGCATCATGGTTTGTTATACATATTTATGCAACGAATATATATATATATATATATATTGTGTGCATGTATATATTGATAAATGTATAAAAAGAATAAGAGAGAATGATACGGTGAGAAAACTCATTTCGTTTTCGCAAATGGACCCCTGTTTCTTCGTGTTCGACGAAAAGATACGATAAACGATGAACGAGCCACGCGTATTACGTTCGACGTTGATATAACGTTGTTTTCCTTTGGCGAATCGACAACGAGCAAAACCGTGCAATACACTTATATACACACACGTACACACATATATATGTATACACGCTTTATATTCTATCCGTGTATTTCTCTCTCTCTCTCTCTCTCTCTCTCTCTTTCTCTCTTTCTGTCAGGCTCACGCTGTTTTGACGGGTAACGTCGGACCGGTGGAATATATTTTTAACGAACTTCGAAAGATTATTTTTAACCATTGACATACTTTAAATTCTCCTACGTGTACGACGAAAAACTCGAAGGAAACGAAAAGGAACGTATAATATAAGGTGGGGTGGTGGGATTGGTGGATTAGAGAGATAATACACATGCATGTAATACAAACGTATCGCGAAAGTATAAAGAAACAAAAAGGATGAATTATTACAACACCCTCTTCTTCGTTCTTACACTTTTCTCGTTTCTTCGTGTTATATTTTATCGTTATTTAACGTTCCCCTTTTTTCTGCTTCGAATGAGAGAAAGAATAAAAATAAAAATAAAAACGAAATAAAATAAAATAGAATGAAAAAAAAAAAATAAAGTAATAAATCAAATAATTAAAATCAAACGCGATTTTAGAATTATTCATTAGGACGTTATTATTATTATTATTATTATTATTATTACCCGTTATCATTTACCATGTTACCGCGATATACCAGAGATAAAATGAAAATGAGAAATAATAATAATTATAATAATAATAAAAGAAAAATAATTTAGTAGCAAGGGAAAGGGAACGGGGCTCATAGTCCTCAGGGTAAAAATCGATGACGTACTTATTCCTATGTCAGCCCTCTGGTTACGAACAGGGTGCATAGAGAAAAAGAGTGAGAGGGAGAGATAAAAAGAGGGAAAGAGAAAGAGAGAAGAACTTTCTCGCGCGTACGATAAAATCTTTCCGATAATTTATACCAGTCGCGCCCTGAACGAAGTCAGCGACAACGATGGCCAAACGCGACAATGGGACACAATACATAAATATGTACTTTATGTATATACGTATGTAAAGTATATAAATGATACGTAATACACTAACCGCAAAAAGTTTGAAATCGGTTCGATGATTTCTATCAAAAGAAGAAAACAAAAGAATAGCAAACTATTAGACTGATAAATTTTTGCAATTATTTGTATCTCTTGTTTTTTTTACTATTAAATATTATGAAAAAAAATCGTATTACGTTTTAAAAAATAATATCAACATATTTTGTTTATGTTAATAAAATGTTCTTGTATAAAACTTTTTTCTTTATCCGCAATTCAAGGCAGGTAACATTCGATATGAACGTCTTTTATTATTGGACGGGGTTTAGGGAAACATCTTTAACAACATTTTTAAGAAAGGCATAGATAAAATATGAAAATTAAAAATTTCATTGTTAGGATACTTGGAATATGTTTGAGCTAAAAATTTAATGATAATATTTATTTTGTTTTTTATCTCAAGTGAAGGAAAAAAATACTCGCTGAACTTTCTTGACGCTAATAATATATTATAATATTATATATAATACATTATTTAAATATTAATATTATATATTACATAAAAATATAAAAAACGTATATAACTCGTTAATTTTTTTGATTATCAATGACAAGGTAAAATTTTCTTCTTTGCTTACTCCTCCTAGGACGTTCATTTTTTTCTTTATTTTTCTTTTTCTTTATAAATGTCATATTTCTCTGAATGTTATACCTGGACGAATCTAAACTTTTGGCTAACAGTGTACCACAAAGGTTCGCGAAGAAAGCACACCTTTGCGACGCGTGGGTGCCGTAGGGCCAAAGAAGAAAAAAAAGAAAGAAAGAAAGATAGGTGGTTATAATTTACAGAGGTGAAAGTTTGCCTCTGCGATGTGTTTTACCAAGAGCATCGTGCAAACCCGAAGGCTCTTTCTCTTATCTCTCCTTTCTTCTTCGTTTTCTATCTTTCTATCTACCTATCTATCTACTATCTCTCTTTTTTTTTCTTTTATAAATCTTAAGACTAATTTTTAAAAACATTTTCAAGAGAATGACATTTGTTTGGATCATTCCTTCATCAATAGATCCTGTGATACTTGATATTTCATTCTTTTTCTTTCTTTTTCTTTTATTTTTTCTTTATCTCTGACCTCATCGAAACTAATTTGGATAATTTTTTCTTTTTTGGTTTTCTGGCTTTTCTATTTTTCATATTTGTATTTAAAAGTAACGATAAACTTTCTCGTTTATTTCCATATTGCATTCTAAACTAGTTTTTGAAATCTTTCGAATAGAATAAGATTTTGTATGAATCATTCATTCGATAGAGATTACTCATAGATTATATTCTATTCTTATTTTTTTTTCTCTATACCTTTTGACCCACCCCCTATCGAAGGTCATTTTGACGTTTTTGTATTTTGTGTTAAATTCTTTCATTTATTTCAGAGAATGTCTTTTAATTTAGAAATGATATTTTTGGGAATCATTCGTCAATAATTTCTTTATTTTTTTTGTACTTAACTTGTTATTACGAGTAATTTTTTGATATATATTTATTTTTATTGCATTTATAAAATTGTAATAAAATTTTCTAATTTTTTTTAACATTTTTAAAAACGAAGAATATTTATATAACTGATATGAAATTCTGAATTTATTCGAGTAGCATTTTTATATTATATTGATAAAGAAAAAGGGCAACTTATTTGTTCTTGAAAAATACATAGAAGAAAGAAATAAAGAAAAAGAAAGAAGAATAAACGTTTATATTTTGAAAAAAAAGAAAGGGAAAAGAAATGTAGTCACAGGACATTGTGTGTTTCTTATAGAACGAGCGAGTCGATCGTTTGAAATACCGAAGGATATTTTGTGTATATACAGGGAGAGCAGGAGCAGCAGCAACGAAATCCCAGATAAAAAGCAGAGTCAGTTTGGTTTCTCAGATATACCTTGTCTACTCACTGTTGAACTTATATATTCGCGTTGCCCTAAGGCTAACAATAGCGAATAAGAAGATTTCATATATCAAACGAAATACAGCAGGTGTTCACATTCATTTCGAGTACATTGAAAAATTTTTAAGACTGACGTTACACACACACACACGCAAAAACATATAATACGCATGTGTTTATATATTTTGTTTTATTTTCCCTTTTTTTATAGTTTAAGATATACAGGGTGATTTGTAACTGGTGGCACAAGCGAAAGGAAGTGATTCTACATGAAAAAATAAATTAAAAATATGGAATAAATATTTTTCGTTTGAGGCTTTGTTTTCGAGAAAATCGACTTTGAATTTTCGCAAAGTACGCGTGCACTTGATCATGTTTCGTTATAACGGACCTACGAACTTTTTAGAAATATCCTACGAACTTTCGGGAAATACCCTACGAACTTTTCAGAAATACCCTACGAACTTTTCGGAAATACCCTACGAACTTTTCGGAAATACCCTACGAACTTTTCGGAAATACCCTACGAACTTTTCAGAATAAACTTATATATGTACATATATAGGTTATTCTTATATAAAAAGTTCGTAGGTCCGTTATAACGAGACGTGATCAAGTGCACGCATACTTTGCGAAAATTCAAAGTCGATTTTCTCGAAAACAAAGCTTGAAACGAAAAATTTTTATTCTATATTTTCGATTTATTTTTTCATGTAGAATCACCCCTTTTTCGCTTGTACCACCAGTTACAGATCATCCTGTATATTTCGATTAATAACATCTATTATTCTGATTTTTTATCTTTATCTTACAGATGAAGTGGACGTGATTGGCTATACCAGCAACCAGTCAGATACCGATGACCACAGTAGCGTGCAAAGTAGCAGCGACAGTGGCGTCGCAATGTCTACATCCAGGCTGACCCTTTCTGAAATGATGGACAATCTTTAGGTATATATTTATATATTTATTTATATTGAGTTTGCCGAAAAGTTCGTACACGATTTTCAGTTTGCTGCATAAAGTTCTTTTGCTAATAAACCTGAGAAGTTCTGGATAGACGAAATTTTTAAGTTACCCTTAAATGTGGAGAAAGATTGTGGAACAGAATGGCACTTATATATAATTTAATAAATAAATGCCAAAAAAAAAAACTTAAATGTGTTGCATTTCAATCTTCCGTCACGAACTTTCCGGACAACCCAATATATATATACTTTTATATCAAAAGCAAATTTTTTAGATCTACCAAGAAGTTTTGTACCTGTTGCCTAGCCTTGACATCTTATTTTATTGTTTAAAATTTCATTATTAATTATTCTTCCTTACTATTTTATCCCTCGTGAAAAAAATTAGTTTAACTTGCAACAATTCGGATTAGCATTAATGTTTTGTTAACGATTATTTGATCTAATATAAACAATATACACATTTAATAAAATCTTTTAATGATTTATTTGATTCGCGTGATGTAACAAAATTTTCTAACATTTTACGTTTTTTTTTCGTTTGATTATTTTCAGATAAAAAGGTGGCGCGGTGGCGGAGGAAAAAAGTGGAAAAGAAGTGTTTGAGAAAACGAGGAAAAAATAATAGAAGAAGAAGAAGAAAAAGAAAGCAGATAAGATGGAAATAAGGAACCGTAGGTGAAGATAATGAAGAAATCGAAGAATTTAATATAGGAGAAAAACGTAGAAGAGAGAGATAAAGGTGATGAAGAGGAACAAAAAAACAGAGCGTGAAGATGTTGAGATAAAGAGAAATATGGTGGAAAATCCTCTCGGGTTGTTAAGCTGAGATTGACGGCGTGTGAAGTATCGGTGCAAAAGTACATATACATATACACACAAAAACACAGAGAACACATACAGACACATATATACATTTATATACTTGGATAAAGAACACATTTGTTCGATTATTCCTTATCGAATACTTTGAGATTCACGTACAACATAAAATTTGGCCGAAAATCGTCCAATTGTGAAAGCACGTGTTTCATATACATATTTACGTGAATGTATACAAGAAGAAGAAGAAGTAGAAGAAGAAGAAAAAGAAGAAGAAGAAGAAAAAGAAGTGAAAGAGGAAGAGGAAGATGAAGAAGAATAAAAATGGCTGCAGGCCCTTACAGTCATAGAAACAGTAGAATTAGATGACAAAACGAAGAAAGGTGTTAAATTGAGAAGGAATTAGTAGAAAGGTAGATAATGTCTTTGGAAAGCAAACAAGAGGAAGAATAAGATTTAAAAAAAAAAAAAAAAAGAAAAAGAAAAAAGAACAAAATTGATGATAAAAAGAAACGAAAAGGACCATTCTTGTCTTTTGTGGAGGAGAACAAGCTTGAAGAAGAAGAAGAAGAAGAAATCTTTTTCCTTAAGTGCGAGCGAAGATTGCGACGAGTAAATGTTTCGTAGGGATGATAAGAAACAGAAAGAAAGAAAGGAAGGAAGAAAGAGAAAGATAGAAAGACAGAAAGAGAGAGAGAGAGAGAGAGAGAGAGAGAGAGAGAATTGAGTAGTGAAAAGACTCGAGTGTGTGTTACGTAGAAAGACCGTGAGAGGAAGATGTTGGTTGTGTGATGGAGTGTAAATTATCGAGCGAAATGAAGTATTGTACATATTTTTAAGAGAGCGAAAGAATATAGACAGAGAGAATGGGCTTTATTGAGATGTTTGATTGAAATAGGTGAAGAAAGAAAGAGAGAAAGACAATGAGAGAATGAGAGAGAAAGAAAGTGTGTATGAACAAAGGAAATAAAAAAAAAGAAACAAAAAACCGGTGTAACGAATCGATAAGTGGCAAGTCGAAGGTGATGTTTATCTTATGTTAGATTAAAAAGGGGGATGGGAGGGTGGGAGTGGGGGGGGGGAAGTAATAGAAAACAGAGAGAGAATAATTAATTAGTGAGAATGGGTAGGGGTGGGGATTAGGGTTGGGGGGGAAAGGAAAAAATAAAGAGAAAGAAAGTAACAAGAAAGATACAACGGCGCCATTTCGTCGTAGGAGGAGGAGGGGGAGGTGTGGGTGGAGGACATAGGAGATAGTTGCGATCGTTTCTCTTCGCTCTTATCTTCTGTCTCGTCCACGTGACATCATATTTGTTTTCTTTCCGTCGTTGGTCCGTTATTCCCGTTCTCTCATTGGTCTCATTTTTTTTCTATTCTTTTCTTTTTCTTTTTCTTTTCTTTTCTTTTTAACGCGAAATGAATCGACGAGACAAGGAGAATAAATAATAATTATTATAATGTTCTTCTTCGTTTTTTTTCACCGAATTAAGTAAAAGAAGAAGAAGGAGAAGAAGAAGAAGAAATTTAAAAAAGGGAAAAACACCAAAAATCAACTAGGACAACTTGTAACGTATTTAGAGGGAGGGATAAATTCGGCAAAAGGGTGTTACGCTTCTTCACGTAAATTTCAATCAGTTTTTTTTTAAAACGATCGATGCTTCGTCTAGTTTAGTTTAGTTTACTTTACTTTACTTTACTTTACTTTAGTTTACTTTAGTTTAATTTTTAGTTTAGTTTAATTTAGTTATTCATAACTTTGTAAGTAATAAGATCATGGTTTTTCTTATTGAAACGAAGCATAGATCGTTCGTTTTGTCCGCTTGCGTCAAAGAGGAGGAGTAGGGGGAGAAGGGAGAAGAAATAAAAGGAAGATCAGAAGAAGGGTACGCGATAATTCTCGGACTCCTCTTGTTAAAGATAAATGGGGTAAAAAGAAAAGGGATTAGAAAAAGGAATAGAAAAAAAAAACAAATAAAAAATTGAACGTCTGGTGGTATATGGTTTATTATGGGGTCCCTGTGCTGTGTTTGACCGATTAGAGAGATGAGAGAGAACCCATTCTTAACCACTTGGTTATTGATCTTTTCTTATGTTAGCTTCCTTGCATGTAAAAGAGAGAGAGAGCGAAAGAAAGAGAGAGAGAGAGAGAGAGAAAGAGACAAAATTCTGAGAGAATGAAAGTACGAATAAGGGAGAAAAAGAAAAAAGAAAGAGAAAGTAAGAGAGAACAAGAAAAGAGTAAAAAAAAGAAATAAATATAATAAAACAAAATAAAATAAAATTAAATTAAATTAAATATTACATGGAACTTACGGCAAATTCCCTTTGGGTTCACGTTTGATTCAACGGTGAAGGAAAGGTGGGAGGGGGAATATTAGGGCCGTTCTCTCTTTTCTAAAACATTCTTAACGAATTAATTATTCGCGTATAAAAATTTATATTTGAGAAATGTTTTTTCTTTATATGCGAGTGAGAAAAAACACAATAGAAAAGAAATAACGATATAACGATCTTATAATCGGATACATTTCGAGATCATTGTCTTTTTTTTGTTATTGAGACCATCATCTTTCTTTATTTCTTTCTTCCCTGTTCTCTCACTCTTTCTTTCTCTCACTCTGTTTTTTCTCTTTTATTATTTTATTTTATCTTATTAATAAGTTTCAAAAAAATTATTTTCATTTCTTTTTCGTTTCTTCCTTTCTTTTTTTTTTCTTGACAACTCAACTCACGCGATGCACATTTTTGCAATTAATTTACTTTTCAACGACCGATCACGCTCGTATCTTATTTTGTTTTCATTATTATCAATGTAAAATTATTCGTGTATAAAGAAGAAGAAGATAAAAAAAACACGCAGAAAATGAAAAAGGACAAAAAAGAAAAGAAGAAGCAGAGAATAGCGTAAACAAAAAATAAAATAAAATAAAGAGAAATTAATTATATCGCGATCACCACGCGTGAAAATCCACTTTTTTATTATAATTTCGGATCGATAAATCAATCACGCGTTTGAAATCATCGATTACAATATAATATTCGAACCAACACGTGATTTTAATGTAGCAAGGATGATGATAATGTCAAAAAAGAAGATCAATAAAACAAAACGCAAAAAAGAAAAAAAAAGTAAATAAATAAGTAGATGCAACAAAAATACTAATTAATATTATACGTGTACTACCCCACACGTGTCTCGTATAATATACTTATATATTTTTTTCTTTTTTTTAGTTTCGCCTTTCGTGTGTCTATTACGAAAAAATAGTAATTTGATTTATTTTTTCGAGCAAATAAAAATGGGGGGAGATGGGGGGGGGGAGGTAGAAATAAACGAAAAATTAAAAATACAAAAAATTTAAAAGAAAACAGATAGATTTAAGTATACAAACAACAAAAATTTTTTAAAATACAAATAATAATGATAAATACGAGATAACTAAAAAAGAAACAAAAGAAATATATTAATGAGAAAAGAAACGAACCATTACACCCCCACCCCACCATCGCCAAAAAAAAAATATATATATATATATTAAAAAGAAAAACAAAAATGAAGAAAAAAAACAAAACGATTGAGAACAAAATCTCTCACCGCAGAGGTTAAAAAAACTAACGATAAGTTGGTATTTCGATGAGGAAAATGAACGTTTTACGAGAACACGAACACGCTGTGTGTCTTAAGGTAAGCGAGGAGAGGGATTAGGGGGAATGAAGTGGTAGCAGGGTGGCTTAGGAGGGTTAGTACAGGGATGAGAAGAAAGAGAAACGCGGCAGATTGAAAGAGTGGGGATAACAAGAAGGATCCTAATCGTCCTTCTGGAAGAAAGAACAAAGGTCGAAGTATTAATAATTAATCGGAATAGTTTTGCAAAAGGGGGAGAGGGGGATAAAGATAGAAAGAGAGAGATCGACGAATCTGCGGTACGAATGTCTGCAGATTTCTCGATAAGCATTACAGTTAATTATTAAAGCTAATTAACTTCCACCTGATAACACAACACGCATACGAACAAACGATAAAACAAAAAGAAAATAAAACATTATTAAAAATATTTATAGTTAAGGATTATGCGAACGTGTAGACGTAGAAACATGTGATTTATGAAATATAAATAATATACACACTGACACACACACACTCATATATATATATATATAAATACGTACGTGCATATAAAAATTTACAGAATATAAAAAACGATGAAGAAAGATTGTGGAAGCTACAAACAAACAAACAAACAAACAAACAAACAAACAAACAAACAAATAAATAAATAAAGAAAAACAAAAATAACACGTATACGTTTAAGCGTCGTGCGAGCGAAATGCACGTTAATATTATTAACTGTAATTAAGTAAACTAAACAGTATAAATGTCAAACAAACAAACAAAAAGCTAAAAAAAAGAAAATGATTTTGATGATTATAATAATGATGATGATGAATAAGTTATTCATAATTGTATGAAAAATAAGTAAGGTTTCATCGTCTCATTAGTTAATATACATTCAAAGAGTACAAATTCTGTAAGTCCCCTCGTTTTGAGAGTGTATTCATCTGTTTTTTCTATTATTTCTTTTTGTTCTTTGATTGACGATATTTTCGCATGGGGTGCGCTTTTTTCCAAATAAAAAATAAAAAAAAAAATAAATAAAATAGAAATAAAATAACACAAGAAAGGAATAACAAAGTCAAATGAAAAAAGAAAACGAAATTAAATTATTACGAACAAAGAAAAATAGAGGCTTGCAAAAATGGGTCCAAGAAGTTTCAAAGGAAGAAAAGAGAAAAGGGGGATGAAGAGAAAGAGGATGAAAATGAAAAAGACAAGAAAAGATATCTCGCGAAAACTCG